AGCCCGCCCCTGCACCCCCACTCCCCCCACCGTGGCCTCTTCTGGGTGAGCTGGGCCATAGCCACTGGGACCTGCCACAGCGGCCTGGACCGTAGGGGCCGGTCAGTCGGGTTCCCCATGGGTTAGTGCAGGAGCTGGTCTGCGAGGTTGGCTGGGAGAGAGCGCTCTGTCCATCCAGCTTCTGTGTGGTGCTACTGGGTGGCCCAGAGGCCCACGCTGCGCCCCGGCCCGCAGAGTCTGGCCACGCTCATCGCAGCTTCGTGTGGGAACTCGGGCACCGTGACTCAGGCAGAGGGGCTTGTACAGGGGTCAGGGACCAAGGTGTTGCCAAGGGCCCAGAGATCACCTGGTACCTGCCCTTCCACGCCAGACGCTCCCGCTTCGATCACCGGCCAGGCCTAGAGACCACAATCATGCATGAATTTCATGCACTAGGCCTCTAGTGGCCTATAAAACACCAAGCAATATGGCCCCTGGGCCTCCCTGACCTTATTTCCCCATCCCTTGCCTCTGGCTTATTCCAGGAAAGCCAGGCTCGCCTCCTTGTCTCCCACTTTATATGGGAGAGGTGAGGGTCTCCCTGATGGCAGAAGACCCCTCTCCCCAGCCTTGTCAGGAGACAGCCAGGTTCCAGCTCATCGTGGGGACATTTGCCAGGTGTTTAGGAGCCTGAGATCCACCAGCCTGATTCTCCTCACTCAAGGGAGTGCCCAGGCCTGGACCTTTGGAGCTCCAATATCCACCATCGCATCTGCCCATCTCAGGCATCCTCTGCGTCTCTCAGCTGAAAATGCTGCTGCCGGAGAGCCCACCATTACTGCTCCCTTCCTTGGCAATAAGCATCACCTTCTTAGGGATTTTATTTATTTATTTATTTATTTATTTATTTATTTATTTTTAAGTTTCTTTAAAAAAAACTTTATTGTTGAAAGTATTACATATGTCCCCCCTTTCCCCCCACTGACCCCTTTCAGCCCGTCTCACCCTCCACCCCAGGCCTTCACCACCCTATAGTCTATGTCCATGGGTTATGCATATATGCATACAAGGTCTTTGGTTGATCATCTCCTACCCATCAATCTCCCCGCCCCACCCCCGCCTTCCCTCCGAGATTCCACACTCTGTTCCATGTTTCCAAATCTCTGGATCCACTCCATTCATCAGTTTATTTTGTTAATCAAATTATGAGAATTCTTTTTAAAATGTCCTCTTTCTTCCATGTATGCACCTACACATACACATACATGCACACCTGCAGGAGCACATGCCGGTGCGTGTATACGCACTCACATGCACACACCTTGTGCATGAACACACACACACTCGTGCACACACAGCTTCTCTGGTGTGACCTAGCTCAGAAGCCAAGGACACATGCTCCTGAAGCAGCTCCCAGCCAGGCAGCCTCTGGGTTATTGATAACGTTTTCTCTTTCTCCGGAAGCCACAGGCCTTGCAGCTCCCAGGATGCTAACCCACAGCACCCCCCCCCCCCCCCCCCCCATGCTAAGCTGCTCTCTGTGTCCTTCCTGCTCCCTGATGGGTGGAAGCAGAGAGATGTCCAGGGAGCATTTTCTACCTGGAATTCGGTGTGGTTCTGGGCAGGGAACCAGGTGAGCAAGGTCCTGCAGGTCATCCCTTCCCTGTAGCCCTTTGGGCAAATCATTCTACCTCCGAATAAAATTGGGAACCTCCCCACTCTGCCTTCTCCAGGGACTGAGGGAAACGGGGGACCAAGCAGAGGGCTCTTCAAAGCTACGGACACGTTACCCTGTGTCTGGAGAGCTTTGGAGGGGCACGAGGAGGGGGAGGAAGGGAGGCGTCACTGAGAGGCCACAGGAGGGTTTCTGTCTATAGGTTCTGTTTGGGAGGGAATGGGGTGTCGGTGGTACTGACGAAGTCAAGGAGATGCCTCCAGCTGAGTCTGCTGGTTTCCCTGGGAGAGAATGGGCTTCCCTGGATGTCCACGAGGAGGTAAACTTCAGCTACGGGGAGGAGAAGCTTGCTGAGACCTGCCTGGGTTGGAGTGGTAGGGAGCTCCTTGTCATTGGAGGTATGTTAGCATTTACTGGTCAATGTTGGGTATCTTCAGGGATAGAGTAGTGGAGTCAGGCAGGATTTAGTCAAGAGGCTCCCCAAGCTTCCAACTCCCCTCCTTTGAGAAAATCCAGTGCCCCAGTGGCCAGAGCCTGGCTAGAGAGAGTAGCACCCCTGGACATGCTGTATCTTCTTGTCTTTGGTCTGAACACCCTCTTCCTCACTCATTCTTCTTCTTGGGCCGGGTTGTTAATGAGCAGATGGGAGGGCCCAGGGTAGCTTGATGGCAAGATTATTGCCTCCCTCCTCCTAGGAGGCGAGGCACTTCTGAGCTTTCTGAGTGACTGGGAACAGGGCCCCTTATGGAGGGGCTCCACTGGGGATCATCCATCACATAAAAGTACAAAGGCCCTGGCTCTGGAATCTGATTCCCTGGATGCTTGGTGGCTGCTTAACGCACTTGAGCCTCTGTTTTCTCATCTGTGAAATGGGGGTGCTAATAACAGTGCCTTACTCATAAGATGGGGTGAGCAGTAAATGAGTTGATACCTGCAAAGCACTTAGCACAGTGCCTGGCACCTCATAACCCCTTATTAATGTTAGCTATTCCTGTTCACCTGTCCATTCATTCACACCTAATCTGCATTCTTCCCTGGGCAAGGCACTGTGGGGCAAGTGGCACCTGCCCTTGAGTTGGTCACAGACCATCTAGGGAAACAGGACAGTGCCCAGGAGGCTGTGTGTGTGTGTGTGTGTGTGTGTTGGTAGGTACAGAGGAAGTACAGGATTGTCTGATTGAGTTGGGGTCAGAAAAGGCTTTTGTGGAAGGGATGATATCTAATAGGAATCTTAAAACAGTGAGGCAGTATTGGATGTGGGGGGCAGGAAAGGTATTCCAGGCAGAGGAACAGCATAAACAGAGGCTGAGGGGCATAAAACAGCCCGGTGTGTACTGGGGAGAAGCAAGCTGGGAGGGAGGCCTGCAGGTTCTGTGCTGGAGTGTAGAGATGAGGCATGCGGTAAGGCAGGGGCATCATCATGGGAGTTTGCATTTCATCATCTGTAGAATGGGGGCGACCAGTCCTCAACTCATAGGGTTGTTATGAGGACTCACGTTCATGCTGATACAGCACCTAGCACAGGGCCTGGTATGTGCTGAGGCTCAGTCAACCATTATGGTTGCTTGCAGATGTGTGTGGCAGGAAGAATCTTTGGAAGCCAAATGTATTGAAGGGCTGACCTCAAAACCCAGGACTCCATCTCGGCAGCCTGTCCCTTCTCAGCATCGGAGCTGCCAAGGCGGAGGTGGCAGCTGCTGCTCTCCTGGACCGGGGGGAAGGTTAATGAGGAAAGCTGGCCAGGGGAGTAGGGTGGTGGGGCATCTGGGCCAATACTGAGGTAGGGTCAAGGGCATTCAGGAAAGGCCATCCCTCTCTCTCTCTCCCAGTTCTCTTCCTCCAATCTCTCCCTACCCTTCTCTTTTTGATTCCTCTCTCTGTGTCCACATCTCCTTTTACTGAAGCCACTCCTAGGGGTTAAATTAAATACCCACAGGTGAAGTATTATTGCTGACTCACCGACAGCATCTGACTCTCATCCTGAGTGTCTCCAGCCTCCCCCGTAAAAAATGAAAGCAGGGGCCCAAGTGCAAATGCCTTAGGTGCCATTCAGGAATGAAGCAGGTGGCTGTGGGCAGCAGTGGCAGGATGAGGGGCGCCTGTGTCAGCGCTGGCTGGCTGTTGCACTATGATGGGTGGGTTTAGGGTTGCCAGGGTTCATGATTTTTTAAAAAGCAGCTGGACATCTGGACCTTTGTGTAGGTAAAAGGATGGAGAAAGGGATTATCCTACTGCTGGAGAATTGTGACAGGTCAAATCTGAGGACAAGGGAGTGTCCAATGAGATGTTACCTGCTGGGCCCAGGCATCCCCGCCCCCTGCCCGGGGCTTACTGAATCACTCACAGAGATGGGAGTTCTCTCAGGAAGTGGAGTCGCCTCTGCCTCCCAGCTGGAGGCCGCTGAACTGCATGGCCTGCAGACCACTTGAGTACTGCTCACCCAAGAGAATCCATTCTTCCAACAAAGATCTGTGTCAGCTCTGTGCTGGTTTTGGAGGTATAGCACCAAACAGATGAAAAATATAAGGAAGGTGTTCTTGAGGGCTTGAAAGGCGTCTTCTGGAGCATACGGGTGATTGTGAACGAGGAGATGAGGTCTGTTTCTACCTGCAGAATTTCTGATGTGGGAGGCCCATGGGAACAGCCATGCTAGCCTAAAGGGATGGTGGTATTGACAGTTAGGGAGGAAGAGGGAAGTCCTGCATCCCCTCCCAGTGTTCTGAGGCCTTGGAGGGAGGTGAAGGACGCTGGCACTCCTGGGCTCCAAGTGTTGATGAAGGGCAGTGAAGGGAGGCTGGAGCTGTGGGGTGGTACAGGTGGCTATGCAGCCCAGCATACTTCCTCAAGAAGTAGATGGACTGTGGGCCTCTGGTGGACTGGACAGAGACCCTAAATACCCCGACTCCTCTCTGAGAGTCTAAGATGAAGCTCTAACCATTCCCCAAATTATTCATGTTGCCTACTGGAGACCCCAACATAAAAAAACAACACAAAAACCCACCAACCAATCAAACAAGCCCCTCCACACACCAAAAGCAGTGTGAATTGGAACAAGAGCACCTC